GAAGCCCGAAGGCTTCCACACCACCATACAGCTTTTAACACAAAGCCTGTCTGCGTGCATTTGGAAAAAAAGATTGCTGTGTAGACTTGTGGAGACTAGAATGAATGACTTATTTCCATAGCCGAATGAGGTTGTCAATTTTTATTATTTTTTTTTTTTTTTTTTTTTAGGAAGAAGGAGGAGGAGAAAAAAAGAGAGGTGTTGAATAATCCTGTGAAAATGAAGAAAATCAAAGAATTGGTAAGGAGTTTATCAAATAAGCACTAAGAGGATCTTGTAGCTACTTAACATGAGAACTTCTCTCATTTCACTCTTACCTTATGAGCAGGAAAGCGGAATGATTTCCTCTTTCGTGTTGTTTGGTTGGAAAAGCATCATGTGATGTCAGTTTTTTTTAGAAATTAGGAGTATGGGACATGCCTGGGGAAGTCCTGATCATACAGTGTATTTAGGAGATCACGTGGTGTCGAGCCTCTAGGGCCCATTTATCATTCACTTGACGTACCACGTGAATGTGTTTTGGATTAGTTGGTAAGGAAAATGTAAAAATTGATCTTGCAGTCCCCTATTGCTTTCAGTAGAGTTGGAGTTCTTTGGACAGATTGGGAATTCCAAGGCATTGGTTCTGGGGATGGTTTACAAATACCGAGTCCTAGCTCCACCCACCAGAGATTCTGTTCAGTAGGGTAGGGGGTGTTTGCGCACTGCCAGGGTTAACACTTGCCCCTTCCTGTTGACAGGGAAGCTCTGCTAGCATCCTGGACCCCTGTAGACCCAGAGGCACAGAGTCAGGTAGTTTGTGCATGAACCAGGCCCCTCAGGGCTCTCCCTGATCTTGCATGGCTATGTTCTGGCTGTTTTCTAGTTGCAAAGGAGTCTGGAAAAAAAGGAGAAGAAGAAGAAGAAGGAGAAGAAGAAGAAGCACAAGAAACACAAGCACAGAAGCTCAAGTAGTGATGGTTGCAGTAGCGAGGAGGAGCGCGGCCGGGGGAGGTGAGCATGCGGAGGCGGGCCTCCCTCGTTGACTCATGGACTCATTCATTCTCCAGATAGTCACGGACGCCTGCTCTGTCTCGGGAACTGCCAGGCACTGGGGTTTCAGGGGTGAGCACTCGCACGTGGGCCCCATGCCCACAGAACTCTCCATCCAGCACCTGCGTTCACTGGAGGTCTCGGCGCGGCCCCTCGCGGAGCTGACTGTCGCCTTGTAGACCTCAGCGCACACATCCTAGTTGTGATGTCCGTCTCTGCTTGTGACTCCTCCAAGACGGAAGTGGATTTTATGTGGCCTTCTTTTTCTTTTTTTTTTTTAATGCATTAATGGGCCCATGTGGGCCCATTCTTTGTGTCTTGTCTGTGGGAGCAGCGAGCATTGTCACTGCTGACTCACTCTTAGTCCCTAGAATAGCAGCCCGAGGTGAGAGGAGAATGTGTTCAGGCGTTGGGGCTGAAAAGCTAGGCCCACGGGTTTTCACAGGAAAAACATGACTGTGCTGATGCATTCTCCAGCAGAGACAGTCCAAATAGACAGCCACACTGCCGAGTGATAGCACAAGTGGGAAAGGTCACGTTTGAAGCAGGAAGCTTGCTTCAGCATGAGAGATTTAAACTGGACCTTTATGCGTTTTCTTTTTCAATGAATGTGTGTTTTAATCACTTAGATCTCAAAAGAAGATGGCAGATTCTTCCCCTGTGCTGTCCAGAGCCCCGGGATATGGCTTACAGGTAAGGATGTGAGCATCTCATAGGGTGTGACTTTGGAATGTGTTGACTTGAGAGCCTATTTGGACAGAGAGCATTTCTAGCAGCCAATCAGACATCATGAGGGAAGGAGGGAGTTTGGGCCACCAGGGTCAGGGCTGCTGGGGAGCTGGCCCATTCCTTACCCCTGAGCCTCCAGCCGGGGCTGAGGGCCCTCTGAGTGGAGAGCCTAAACCACTAGTGGGGCCTGCAGGCATTCTGCCTCTCCCTCTGCACATAATTTCAATGAAATGCAGGCATTTTTAGCTTCCAGGTTGATGGCTTTTGACCACCATCCCTCTAGATTCCTTTGTAGTAGGTTTAACCTTAGGTCCTGGTCTCCATGCCCTGTCTCTTGCTCCTACTCAGGCTGTGGTGAAGTTAAGGCAGTGCAAGTGGCTGGCAGGGTCCATTCTCTGAGGGGATTCTGCAGAGAACTTTGCTAAGTTTGAGTGCTTCTCTGTGGTAACTGTGTGATGGGCTTGGTACGCCCAGTTGGCTTCTTACAGAACCTCAGTGCTCATTCATTTCCTTGTTTCACTGCATTTTCTCCTGAGCTGCAGATTCTCCTATGAATACCTTCTCTTCCTTTCCTTGATGCTATAGATCAGGGACTCCTACCATAGCCAGGGAGTACAGAGTTCTCTGATGGCCAAGCAAAAGGGAATGCACGGGTTGAAGAATTATTCCAGGTCCAGAAGCTCCTCCCACTCACCTCCCAGACATGCCAACAAGAAGAGCACCCGAGAAGCGGGGTCCCGGGACAGGAGTTCTCGATCCCCAGGCGGAAGGTCACGGTCCCCGAGGCCAAGCAAACCGTGAGTGTGGGAATTCACTGGGAAATGGCCTGTAAATGTGGGGGCTGGTCACAGCAGGTATTTGCTTTTACTGATGTCCATTAATTTTTCCAAATGTCTTTGCTTTATTTACTTTATATTGTGTGTCCCTGTCGTTCCCCACCCCCCCACCCCCACCCCCAGCCACCTCAATGTAAAGCTCAGGCCCCTAGAACTACATATTTATATATGTGGAATCTTTGGAGTGAGTTTAATATCAGATCTTATGTATCTTTATGTGTTTGCTTTTCTTCCACTTCTGCCCTCTGTTCTCTTCAGTTTGGATTATAATTCTAAGACTGTTAGCTTTTCTCCCATTATTTGAGGGACATGATAAAAGCCCCTGTATTGAAAAGGCTTTTCTCCTCTCTGCCCACTCTGTGTCTGTCACAGGCACAACTCAAAGGTCAACAGGAGAGAGAGAGGCCGAACTAAAAGCCCATCACCTAAAAAGGAGATCTACCAAAGGCGGCATGCTCCTGGTTACACCAGGTGAGTCAGAAGCCCCAGATGTGAACTGCAGACTCTGCAGGCCTGAGTCTAGGAGTGGCTCAAACCCGGGCAAGTGGATAATCTACATCACCTTTTTTTTACCAAACCAGCTTTAATTCTTCCTGTCAGCTTTTAACAGTCTGGCCCACCTCCCTTCCCTGCGAGGCACATTGAAAGGACAAAGAAGTAGTTTTAACTTAACGAACAATTGCTTAAGTGACTATCTCTGGACATCTGTAAACATGCTAATTCTCACAGAGATTTCCACAGAGAAGCTTTTCTCAAGAGAGTGTTCCTTTCTTGGGGCATCAGCTGAAGGGGAAGCAGGGTGCTCTCCTTGAAGGCAGACACCCTAAGATGGACTCTGTGTTGGAGTTGGGTGTGGAGTGAGTTAGACCGAACAGGGGCATTCAGCCCTGGGACCTGAGGGGAGGTGGCTGTGCCCACAAAAGGCTGTTTCTGGGGGGTCTCGCTTACTCTTTGTAGAAGTTGAGAGGAGACGGGCAACTTTTGTGAACTTCCTTTTACTGCCTAAACAAATTGGCTGCACAGTAGAATCATCTGGGAAGCTTAAAAAAAATTCCATTACCCGGCTGCACCCCAGCCCTATTACATCATAATCTCTGGGGGTGGGCCCAGACATCAGTATTTTTAAAGCTTCCCAGTGATTTCAAGAGGCAGTCAACATTGAGAACACTGGGAGTCTACACTACCTCTTGTATTCACTATGTTAAAAAAGAGGCAGACCCTACAGGTCCCTTTTAACTCTTGATTGCCTGATTCCCTAAGTTTCTAAGGAACAGAAACTTTTTTTTTTAAAGATTTTATTTATTTATCTGAGAGAGAGAGTGAGTTAGAGAGAGCGAGCCTGAGAAGGGGGAGGGTCCGAGGGAGAAGCAGACTCCCCGCTGAGCGGGGAGCCCGACGCGGGACTCAATCCCGGGACTCCAGGATCATGACCTGAGCCGAAGGCAGTCGCTTAACCAACTAAGCCACCCAGGCGTCCCAGGAACAGAAACTTTTTAAAAAAGTTTTAATCTTGACTGACAACTTTCTAAAATATGTTGTAATGTTTCCCTGCCTTCTCAGACAGAGTATGTTATGTAGAATTTAATCTTTTATTGGTGACAGTTTTTCAGCTGGGCTGGAAGTTATGCTGCTCTTTGGGTTAATGCTCATGAGCGTGTTTGTTTTTGTGTTTTAAGGCTCTTGGTCAGTGTGTGACTATGCTTTTTCAGATCCTGCTTTGTTTTTCTGTCTCTTTTGCCATCTGTCATCGCTTTAGTTTGTCTTACTTTATCAGTCTTTCTTATCCCCCTTAGAATATTTGTGTTGAATTTTGTGATTTAAATGGGTTAGAGCCCTCAAGACCTCTCTCTCCCAGGAGTAAAAGTGCAGAAACTTTAATGCATAGATTTTGTGATCTCATTGTCTGTGTTGGTTTGGTGTTCCATGTGGTCGAGGTGGTTTTATGTAATTAAGATGACAGTGAATTAAGATGAAAAGAAAAATTATGGCTATAATTGAGAATTTTTAAATGTGTGCATTTTCTTTTGTGTGTATGTTTTAATTGGTGATCTAAAACGACTTTAACAGCTGAAAAGATGAAGCTCCTCTTTTGTAGTAAAGATGCTCAATTTTAAGCAATTTTGGGGGCACCAAAATTTGGGGGGGTGGCTCAGTTGGTTAAGCGTCCGACTCTTGATTTCAGCTCAGGTCATAGTCTCACGGTCCTGCGATCGAGCCCCATGTAGGGCTTCATGCTCAGTGGGCAGTCTGCTTGAGATTTTCTCTCTCTCCCTCTGCCCTACTCCCCGCTTGCGAGCTCTCTCTCTCTGTCAAAATAAATAAATAAAATCTTTTCTTAAAAAAAGCAACTTTTATGGAATAAGGCTATTTTTTCTTGTAAAAATTTTTTGGGGTCTTGTGGGACTCCCATTTAATTAATATTTTCCATTGCTTTTGAAATTACAAAATTTCTTGCAGGCAACACAGCACTTTTGTAATTTTTTTAAAAGATTTTATTTACTTATTTTAATTTATTTTTTTTTTAAAGATTTTATTTATTTATTAGAGAGAGAATGAGAGATAGAGAGCACGAGAGGGAAGAGGGTCAGAGGGACAAGCAGACTCCCCGCCGAGCAGGGAGCCCGACGTGGGACTCGATCCCGGGACTCCAGGATCATGACCCGAGCCGAAGGCAGTCGCTTAACCAACTGAGCCACCCAGGCGCCCCAAATTTTATTTACTTATTTTAGAGAGAGATTTATTTATTTTAGAGAAAGAGAGAAAGTGGGGGCGGGTCAGAGGGAGAAAAGCAGAGGGAGAAAAGCAGTCTCAAGCAGACTCTCAGAGGGAGAAAAGCAGTCTCAAACAGACTCCCTGCTGAGCCCAGAGCTGCAGGGCTCCATCCCTCGAAACCAAGAGTCAGGCACTCAATGGACAGGGCCACCCAGGTGCCCCCTCCCTAATGTTTCATTTTAAAAACCTTTTTCATTTTATCGATAATATCTTTCATTATCTCTGAGTGAAATTTTTAATTGTAAACTTTTAATAAGTTTTGTGCTTCATCTTCGTCTGTTCCCTTTTCCTTTGGTCTCTTTCACGTGAGAGGCTTTCCTGAAATGTATGATATTTCACTGTCTATTCATATGTAAGAGTAAGGAATTAAAGCTGACATCACTGTATTGTGTATGGGCAGGGCTTATCTACTGGTGGGAGATTGGGTTTGAACTGGTTTTTAGCTGGGGACACTTTTATATCAGTATCTTTGGTTTTCTTGTCAGGAACCATTATATTTCTTCTGTTTTTAAAAAATTTTTATTTATTTATTTGACAGAGAGAGCACAAGCAGGGGGAGCAGCAGAGGGAGAGGGAGAAGCAGGCTCCCCGCCGAGCAGGGAGCCCACTGTGGGGCTCGATCCCGGGACCCTGAGATCATGACCCTAGCCGAAGGCAGACGCTTAACCGACTGAGCCACCCAGGCCCCCAGGAACCATTACATTTCTATAGAAGAGGGTGCCTGAGTGGCTCAGTTGGTTGAGCGCCTGACTCTTGGTTTCCACTCAGGTCATGATCATGGGGTCGTGGGATTGAGCCCTGTGTTGGGCTTCACACTCAGTGGAGGGCCTGCTGGAGATTCTCTCCCTCTCCCTTTTCCCCTCCCCCTGCTTGCATTCTCTCTCAAATAAATAAATAAGTCTTAAAAAAATTTTTTTTTTCTACAGAAGGAAAAAGCCCTTTGGCTGCGTGACCAATGGCTCTAACTCTGGCTGCTGGCATTTTGGGAGAAATTTTCACTCCTGGTGGCCCTGCCAGCTTCCTTTGCTGTGCCTGATTCACCTGCAACTTCTGATTTCCTGTCTAGCTTAGTTCTTCAGAAACTCCTAGAAGGGCCTCCCTTCTGGAAGGTCTCCTGTCGATGTTTGGGAGAACAATCACTGGCTTCCCCAAGTTAGGCATGAGGACCCAGGGTGTCTTAATTGCTCCTCATACAGACTTTATTATTATTATTATTTTTTTTTAAAGATTTTATTTATTTATTTGAGAGAGAGAGAATGAGAGAGAGAAAGCACGAGAGGGAAGAGGGTCAGAGGGAGAAGCAGACTCCCTGCTGAGCAGGGAGCCCGATGCGGGACTCGATCCCGGGACTCCAGGATCATGACCTGAGCCGAAGGCAGTCGCTTAACCAACTGAGCCACCCAGGCGCCCGACTTTATTATTTTTTTAAAAAAGATTTTTTTTATTTATTTGACAGAGACATAGCGAGAGAGGGAACACAAGCAGGGAGAGTGGGAGAGGGAGAAGCAGGCTTCCTGCAGAGCAGGGAGCCTGATGCAGGGCTCGATCCCGGGACTCTGGAATCATGACCTGAGCCGTAGGTAGACACGCCCAACGACTGAACCACTCAGGTGCCCCTCCTCATACAGACTTAAAGACTGAGCTTTACCACCATCCTCTACTTGGTGCCTGCAGTCTGAGCCTTTCCTGGATTTTGCTTCTGTTTAGTATTGGGCACTTAAAGGGATTGAGTTTTCTCTAATCTGTGAAAAGTAGTTACCACCCCTTCATCCACTTCCATCTTCCAACAATTTTTAGACATCTCTTATCCAATGTCTTCTCCTCTCCTATTCTCTTTGTGGTTTTATATATTTTATTTAGTGGGTTTTTTGAAAGGGAGCATTATCATTTCACTATAGACAACTAAATGTCAAGTTTTAGTGTTTTAAGGTTCTGTCTCAAAATTGAATTCCACTCCTTAATGGGACTCCACCAATTATTTTTTCTCTTAAAGGGGGATCTTTTAAATGGGCTTATCACACCCATTTGAGAAGCAGTGGATTTGGATTTCTGTCATTGTTAAATCGTGATTGACCTGGTTCATCACCTCCTCTTCTTGTTCTGACTTCATTTGCAGTGAGTGCCAGGGAAGAAGACCTACCTATTACTCTCTGAGATTAAGTTGAATTGACTGAATTCTTCAGGCATCTGGCTTCAAGCTTATTCCTAAAGCGGTGTACTCCTGGGCTATGTCCATGAATTTCTAAGCATTTCCAATGGGTAGATGGTAGATGTCAGCAGTCACATGGCTAACTTAGTCCTGTGTTCTTCAATAAGTCGTTGAGCAAACAGTTGGAATATTTTGTATTTAATGTTTAGAATAATGAATCACTCCAGAGATTACTGAGAGAGAGTATGGAATCCGTCACTACAAGTCTTTGAAATTTGGATGAAGCCATCTGCCCAAGATATTAGGATGGAAGGAAACTCATGCTGAGTGTGGCCCTGGGTTGAACATTTCCATAGAGAGAGCAGGGCGGGGGATCCTACCTGATTTCTGTTCTCCCTGTAGTGTTTGTTTTTTTTTTGCTGCGAGAGAAGTAGACCTGATAGGATGGGTTTTGTGTTCAACAGAAAGCTCTCATCAGAGGAACTAGAGCGAAAACGTCAAGAAATGATGGAAAATGCCAAGTGGCGGGAGGAAGAGAGGCTGAACATCCTCAAGAGGCACGCTAAGGATGACGAACGGGAACAGAGGCTGGAGAAGCTGGGTGCCCGGGATGGGAAGTTTATCCAGTGAGTGCATCTTGCTGCCTAAGGGCTTTCATGGCTGTGGTCCCAAGGAGGCAGCTGGGTAGCTGATTCATTCATTGTGTTCCTGGTGTTTCTGTGTCTGCAGTGAGAACAGGGAGGTCAGCTTCCAAGCCACCTTTGTTACTACTCCCAGCATCTAGCTAGGCAGTGGGATACTTTTTATTTGAAGGAAGGAGGAGTGAATTGGTATTTTCACTGAATCTCCTTGCCTTCCATTTAAATAAGAATTCATGGCTCAGGAGGCCTTTTTCCAATGAGGCTTTACTTGGTTTCCAAAACAGATAACTTTTCCCTGATGGAAGTTGTTTTAACAAATTGAGTTCCAGATGGAGTCCACTCCAAGGTTACCTACATGGGCTTAAAAGAGCTTGGGTTTCTACATCTGCTTTATGGCTGGCAACCTGTTTCTTCTATTTCTGCCAGATGGCTGACCAGTTGACAAATATTTCTTACTCACGTTACTCTCCTGTCTTCTCTTCCTAGCCGCATGAAGCTGGAGAGCGCATCTACCTCCTCCCTGGAGGATAGGGTGAAACGGAACATCTACTCTCTACAGAGAACCTCAGTAGCTCTGGAGAAGAACTTTATGAAAAGATGAAAGCCATCCCCTCTCTTGCTGGTTTTCCTGAATTTTCCAGGGAGGCTGCTGATCCCTTAAACATTCTCTTTATAAGAGTTCAAGTGACTTCTTGTACAGTTGTCAGAGCACTGCTGTTCAGAGTGACTCTCCTCCAGTGATTCCCGAGACAGCTTACTTCCTTGGGGAACCAGTGTGGCGTACTTTATGGGGCCCTCAGTAACTTTTGCTGAGTGTCTTGTAGGTTTTAGTGAGTGGGCACTGGACACTCTAGGTGTGAGCACTCATCCTGCTCTGGAAGGCCGTTTCCTGCGGTCATGGTACTTACTATGCCACTTCTTCCTGGCTGTGAGAACAGTGTGCCTCAGTGTAGACCGGACCTTGCAGAAGCCTCTCTCTCGAGTCGCCCAGATAGATTGTGCTTCGTGGGGTAAATGAACATCTATGTGATTTAGTAGATAATGTGACAGAATGATGTCAGCTTAGGGCAGAGCCAAGGGGGTGACAAAGGATCTGGAAGGGGAAACAATCCAAAAAAGCACTAGATGAGCTGTTGACTATCTTTTGAACTGTAAAAGTGTAGTGTGTATGTGTATAAATGTATAATTTTTACATGCTTTTAAAAAAAGTTAGCTTTGTGAGAACATCTTGTTTGGTAAGGGACTGTACTATATAATGTTACTGAGTAATACAGTAAGGCAGGTCAGCTTTTTTCCCCCTCTGAATCCGGCTAGTTTAGGAGGAGCCTGGGTTTGTAGATAGGATCCAGGGTATTTGTCCTTTTACACTGCTTACAGGCTCCCCTGTGGGCAGTGCAGCAGTGAAGTCAGATGATTTTAGGAGTCAGGCCCAAATTACCAGTGTGTTCCCACCCTGGCTCTTAAAAGAAAATAAAATGGAAGCTGTTTTATTTCATGGCTTCCTTTTAATCATGTAGTAATCTTATTACAATTGTAGATTTTCAGGAGTTTCCTACTATTTTTTAGTCAGGTATTAAAAACCCCAAAGACTCTTGGGACCAGTCTCTTGCCTTTACTCCTTTCCCTTTTCTGTTCTTTTACCAGAAGCCCTCATTTGACCCATGAACTCCTTAGGCCCTCTTGACCCACACATTAGCTGGGCTAGTTCCTTGTTCTGCTAATCCCTAATTCTGCTTAAAACGAATTTGGATTTATATTTTTGTGCATTTATGATGCCAGGCACTGTAATACTTAAAACCCAGTCTTTCCCCAGAGAGAAAGTAACACACACTTGTTATTCATTTAATCACCTCATCCTGCTTCTCTATGCTAATTGTCTTTTATTTTATTACTTGGTAATAAAGGCTACATTTATTTTTGCAACTGTTTAAAGAGCAACCATGCGCTGAGTACCGAATTTACGAATTCCCATACAGAACAATACTGACCCGTAATTTGTGTCAAATGTTTGGAGATCCTTCGTCCGAGAGGAATTACATAACAAAGCGTGGGCAGTTTACTCAAAGATGTCATGAAGCGAGCCAGAGAATAAGACGATTACGATTCTCTGCTGTAGGGTAGATGTCTAAAGGTGCCGCCGGTCTCTTAACTCGACCCTTTGGAGGGAGGAGGCCAAGCGGCTGGTGGGTGGGTGCGGGACCCATTCATAAAACCCAGGGCTCCCGGCCCGCTGCTCTCATTGGCCCCGGGGAAAAGGGGCGTGACCCGCGGGGGGAGCGCACTCCAGACCCCGGGGAGTGGGAAGATCCACGCTTGGGTGGAGCGAGGGGGAGTTCCTTGGTTTTCCCGGCAGGACTTCCTTTTCCCTTTGCTGGCTTCCTCCTGTCTCCCCCGGGGTGGGATGGTACGTCCCACCCTCCTCGCATTCCCGCCCCTCCTCCCCTCCGCAGACTGGGCGCCGCCGCCATCTTGGCACGTCAGGTTGAGGGAAAGAGCCAAACCGTGGATTGAAGGGGGGGCCCGGACAGGGGGACCCTCCCGCGGTAGACGGCGAGCCCTACCCCCAGCCCTCATCCCCTCCCCGTTTCGGTGCGGGGCTCTGAGGCGTCCCAAGGCCAGCCCGGTTCCTGTCAGGCCCGGGGAGGAGGGGCGGGCGGGGCAGCCGCTGCCTCCCCGGGACGGGCGCTACCACCCGGGCGGGGAGAAGAGCGCCTGGTGACCGAGGGGTGCGGAGCGAGCCGGCCGGCTCCCTGGAGCGGGGCGGGGCGGGGCGTGGGGGGCGGGGCGTGGGGCGGACGGAACCACCGGGGCGGGGTGGGGAGGTAACGGGACGGGCGCGACCATGGCGCGGTGAGGGAGCGGGGGTGGGGATCGGTCCCGGGGAGGCCTGGGGCCGCTGGCTTGTGCGCCGTCTCGGCCGCCCCCCCTTTCGCCGCCGCCGCCGCCGCCGCCCCGGGCATGTCGTCCAACTGCACCAGCACCACGGCGGTGGCGGTGGCGCCGCTCAGCGCCAGCAAGACCAAGACCAAGAAGAAGCATTTCGTGTGCCAGAAAGTGAAGCTATTCCGGGCCAGCGAGCCGATCCTCAGCGTCCTGATGTGGGGGGTGAACCACACGGTAACCAGCTCCCCCGCGCGCGCCCCTCCGAGCGCCGCCCCGTGCGCTCCCACGCCCCCCCGCAGGCCCGGCCCTCGCCCCGCGGGCCCTGCCGGGGACGCCCGCAGCCCCTCGCCAAGCCACTTGCACGCCCACCCCACCCTTGCACGCAGTCCCGGCCGGGTGTGCACTCCCCGCGCGCCACGCGAGGCCTGGTATCTCCGACGGTGGTATGCCGTCGCCCCCTCCCTCCCCTCCAGCCCCTCTAGCTTCCAGCGTCTGGCTTGCTCGCTTCGGGCAGTCCCTGGAGCTCAGGGGGAAGGCCTGGGTGCAGCGGAATCCCTTTCATCCCCTCACCCTGTTTGTTGCATGTGTTTCCCCCCTTGTTCCTTCAACCGGCTGCCAGCTCCCTGTCCAGTTGACAGGGCAAGTGGCATTGGCCTGCCTGAATATTCCTCTATTTCTGTTTATTTGGTTGGTGCGACTGCTTAAAGTTTCCCATCCTCCAGACCTCCTCACCCCTGACTATGGAAATTCTCCCTGGGTTTCCTTTTTTTCTTCTTGAACAAGATGTATCAACTGGAGAAGCACAGGCTTCCTTGAACCACAGACACTTTACCAGGGTCTTCCTGGGTTAGGGAGAAGAGAGAATGTAACCATTTGAGAGAAGGTGAGGCCTGATTATAAGGAAGACTATTCATAGTAGAAATAATGTGTTTTCCTGCATTCTTCTATGGTGTTCATGTCAAAGACATTGACTTCTCTTTTATTGGGCTTTCTGTTGTACCGTCATGAAGGGTGTGATAGTGGTGGGTGGTTAGGATGAGAGGGCAGTCCCCTGGACACTTGGGGTGCTTTGAGATTCTCCTATCTCAGGAAGGGAGTTGGAGCCCAGGATTCATGCTTGAGCTGGAGGACTTTGGTTGCGCCCTGTTTGTTTAGGGTCTTTCTTTCTTCCTTTCCAACCACTTGCTCCTTGCCTTCTGACCATTTACAGTGTGAGTCCCTACACCAGGAATGAGCAGAGGAAGTAAAAGGACCTGAAACACCCAACTTCACCAACTACAAGTTTGGAATGAGAAAGATGAAGCTTTTGGCTTGGGTTTCCTGTGAATTTCAGTTCTTTAGGCACCCTTACTTTTCAGAGCACTTGAAATTGCCCACAAGATCAAATGATGACACAGGGGCCTGGGGCCAGCAAGACTTTTTGCTTTGCTTTGGTAGAGGAGCCTTTCGCTGGAGATCAATGAACCATAGTCTGAGCCAGGGTTCTAGATCTTTACATCTAATACAGAAAAGTGCATGAGTATGGTGAGGTCTTTGTTGGTGTTTTGGTCTTGGGCAGTTTACTGTTTTCAGTAACCTCCCTCAGGTGAGGGTCCTGGCCAGGGTAGGGAGTAGCGCTGGTTTCATGCCCAGACCCCTGGAAGCTGCTTGGGGCCAGTAGTCCAGCAGACTTTGTTTCTCCTGCTTCCTGCTGCCTCAGGGGTCATCTGACAACATTGCAAGGGAAACTGGGTCATCAAAATGTGGACCTTGTGTCCCTGCCTGGAAGTCAGTCCTTGATTTTGTCCTACAGCCCGCTTCTCACTAGAAAGCATCCTGTCTATATAGAGCATTGGTGGAGGTTCTTAGAGCTCCTGCCTTGGAATATTGCTGCTAACTACCTTGGGTCCCTTATTTTATACACAAAGACATGGAGGCCCAGCTGGAGGATTACCTCACCCATGGCCACAGCAGCAGATGCAGCTCATTCACCACGGGCTGTGTTATTCAGTGGTGGTGCTTGAATGGCAGGTCTCGCTCTCTGTGCCTCCTGTTCCTTAGTCCATTTCTCAGCCAAGTGCCAGGATAGGTAGGGATGATGGTCTTATTAGAGAACCTGAATGCACGCTCAGGTGTGTGTGCCCGTGCCTGCCAGCTCCCGGGAGCGTGTGTGATGTTGGATGTTCTGATAGGCGGGCAGTGAGTCTGCCCAGATGTGGGCCTATGCATGGTAGATGGATAGGCATCTGTGAGTCTTACTTTCTTGGACTAGGCAGTCACCCTCTTTCTTTGCCAACTTGAAGAAAAGTTTGAGGGCTAGCTGGAAAGGCGTTGACGTTAAGCAAGACCCACGGTTCTGGGCGTAATGAGCGGGTGCCTCAGGGAACAGACACTGGCACCACTCCCTGGACCTGGTAAGCGGCGCAACGCAGTTGGCCCCAAGGCTTAGTGCTTCATCGGGGCCTGCGGTAAGGTCTGGTATTTTAGGGTCCCCCATCTGGGAAATGGAGGCAGCTCCCCAGAAGAAGAGTGGTGTAAAATCTTGTAGTTCTCTAGGGGGTCAGGACCACATAGTTCTTGGTGGATTGCTAGCCTTTCTGGGAGGTTGCCTTCCTTCAGAAGCCCACTTTTGCCAGTTTTGGCGATCTGAGGCTTCAGAGATCACATTTCTTTGAATCTTTAAGTTTCTCACCCCTTTAGGCCTTTTAGGGCATGATAGTCTATGGCTGATGGTGGATGGATATGCCTTTATGGAGAGAAGTCAGTGACTCTCTCCTGAGGTGGTTGATTTACTTCCAGTTGGAAAAAGAGAGGATTTTTGAGCTTGGTGTTGTCACAGGAGCTCCTCTCGGGGACAAGAGATGCAGCCCATGGACTTTGTGGAGAGAGACTGCAGGGAAAAAAGTCAGAAGACTTTGGATCTGGGGCACCCAGCTGGCTCAGTCGGTGGAGCATGTGACTCTTGATCTCGGGGTCGTGAGTTTGACTCCCACGTTGGGTGTAGAGCGTACTTAAATAAAACTTAAAAAAAAAAACAAAACAACTTTAGATCTGTCAGGGGAAAACTAGTAAAGAGAGAACCCCAGTATTTTAGTGGATGAAATACAGTTTGGAGGTAGAGAAGATTGCCTTGGAGAGGGACGTGGAGACCAGAGGAGGCCGACCTGACTTGATGACCTGTTGGTCATTTTAGGAACCAGGTATTCGTGAAGCTTTACTCAGGTGATCACAAGGGTTAGGAGCAGTTGGCGGTAACTATATTTAACCACGTAGGAACCTGCTATACTGTTCTTCAAAGTGACTACACCATTGTACATTTCACCAGCAGGGTGTGGGGGGTTCCAATTTCTCCACATCCTTGTCAACACTTGCGATTATCTGTCTTTTTTATCATAGCCACCGTGGTGGGTGCGAAGTGTTACGTCATTGTGATTATGATTTGTGTTTCCTTGATAGCTAATGGTGTTGAGTATCTTTTCATGTGCTTATTGGCTATTTATATATTTTCTTTTTTTTAAGATTGATTTATTTGACAGAGAGAGCAAGAGCATAAGCAGGGGGAAGGGCAAAGGGAGAAGGAGAAGCAGTCTTCCTGCTGAATAGGGAGCCGGACATGGGGCTCAATCCCAGGACTCTGGAATTGCCTGAGCCGAAGGCAGATGCTCAACTGACTGAGCCACCCAGGCGCCTGGGCCATTTATATATTTCCATCAGACAAATGTCTGTTAAGATCTTTGTCCATTTTTAAAAAATATTTTTGTCCATTTTTAATTGGGTTGTCTTTTCATTATTGAGTTATAAGAGTTCTTTTTTTTTGAGAGGGAGAGAGAGAGAGAGCGTGTGAGCATGAGATGGGGGGGTGGAGGCACAGGGAGAAGGAGAGGGAGAAGCAGACTCCTTGCTGAGCAGGGAGACAAGGGAGCTTGATCCCGGGACCCTGAGACATGACCTGAACTGAAGGCAGACACTTAACAGACTGAGCCACCCAGGTACCCCTTGAATTATAAAGCGTTCTTTTTTTTTTTTAAGATTTTATTTATTTATTCATAAGAGACAGAGAGAGAGAGTCAGAGGGAGAAGCAGGCTCCCCGCTGAGCGGAGAGCGCGATGCAGGACTCTATCCCAGGACCCTGGGATCATGACCTGAGCCGAAGGCAGACGCTTAACCATCTGAGCCACCCAAGCGCCCAAGAGTTCTTTATATATTTTAGGTACAAGTCCCTTATCAGATATATGATTTGCAAGTATTTTCTCCCATTTTTTGGATTATCATTTACACTTTCTTGATGGTATCTTTTGAAGCTCAGGTTTTTAATTTTGATAAAGTACAATTTACGTATTTTCTTTGTTTGCTTGCACTTTTGGTGTCATTTCTAAGAAGGCTTTGCCTCACACAAGGTCATGAAAAGTTACTCCTATTTTTTCTTCTAAGAAAAACTCTCAGAGTTGTTGTTTTTTTAAGATTTTATTTATTTATGGAAAGAGAGAGAGAGAGAGAACGAGGGGGGGAGGGGCAGAGGGAAAGGGAGAAGCACACTCCCTGCTAGGCAGGGAGCCTGACATGGGGCTCGAACCCTGGACCCTGAGATCATGACCTGAGCCAAAGGCAGATGCTTAACTGACTGAGCCACCCAGGTGCCCCAAACTCTTACATTTTTAGCTCTTACATTTAGGTCTGTAATCCATTTTGAATTAATTTTGGTGTATGGTGTAAGGAACAGATTCATTCTTTTTTTTTTTTAATTTTTTTTTTTAAGATTTTATTTATTTATTTGAGAGAGAGAATGAGATAGAGAGAGAGCATGAGAGGGGGGAGGGTACGAGGGAGAAGCAGACTCCCTGCTGAGCAGGGAGCCCGATGTGGGACTCGATCCCGGGACTCCAGGATCATGACCTGAGCCGAAGGCAGTCGCTTAACCAACTGAGCCACTCAGGCGCCCGGAACAGATTCATTCTTAAGTCTGTTCATTTCTCTCCCACACTCCACCCCCATGTTGTCCATGCATTTTCTTTGCTTAATGCAGACCCAGAACCTCTTTTACCTGCCTTTTTCTCTTGCTCTGTGACTTTAAAACTCTTTAGTAAGTATTCCTGCTCTAGTGGGGCCTTTGGATAAATTTGCCCTCGGCCAGGCCTTCCCACCTCACGGAGAACAGGAAGAGAAGAAAAACCATGGTATGAAAAAGGAGGACTAAACATAGGAGTGAATTTGTTGGCACCTGTGGCTCTGTTCTTGCCCTTTTCCTCTCTAGTTTGAGGTCTTACTTGGACTTCCTCGGTCTTGGGGTTTTTCAACTCATCATGTTTTCTGATGGCGGCAGGTAACACCTGATTGTCAGTGCTAGCCAGCTGACTGCTGCGCCACCCACAGAACCGCAGGACAAGTCAAGAAACCTGCATGCCCTGCCCACGCCTCCTGGGTTCCTAGGAAGGTCACACAGGGAAGTAGAGGCTTCTGGAATCAGAGTTCAGCAGACTAGAACTAGTGGCTGAATTTTCATCTCCAGTAGGATCAGCACAGAGTGAATTCTCTGCTCCTGAATTTCTCACTCAGCTTGTGTAGCCTCATTATTTATGCTGATGGCTCCTGGAGTTAGTCGTGTGGTTAATCCAAAAACTGTTTACATGACGTGAGATACAACATATTTCCCATACGAATATCTTGTATTTAGCATGATACTTGAATGAATATGCATTCCACAAGTGCACTTGTGCTGAAGGGAAGAGGGGTCGGCCCAGGATTGTGCTAGATAGTCGAGGACAGGCACATCTTCCTAGAACATTGCTTTAGTCATGACCTTTCATGCTTCAAAACTTTTTTTTTTTAAAGATCTTATTTATTTGTCCGAGCGAGAGAGAGAGAGAGCACAAGCAGGGGGAGCTGCAGGCAGGGGAAGAAGCAGGCTCCCCGCTGAGCAAGGAGCCTGATACGAGACTCGATCTCAGGACCCTGGGATCATGACCTGAGCCGAAGGCAGACGCTTAATGACTGAGCCACCACACCCCGATCCTAGGCCTTTCTGACATGTATTTATTTCTCTTCAGCTTCCTCTGGCAAGCGGCTCTCTGACTCCCACCCCCACGCGGCACCCATTTCTTCATCTGTTCCCCCCCCCTTTATTTATAACTCCATAGCACTCATCAAATTGTATTCTTTGCTGTCTGTTTTCCCAGCTGGACAGAGCCCATGTCTTCTCATTTTTGTATCCCCAGCTCTGGCACTGTCCTGGCATAATAGTAAGGCCCTCAATATACTGGGTAGAAGTAAACTGATTAGGAGTTTGGCAGCGCCTGAGCCAGGTCAGGAAAAGCCTTCAGTGCCAGGCTAAGGAGGTAAAACTTTACCCTGAGGTTCAACTTAAGTGGGGATGTAACATGATCTTGTAGATTCTTCCAGTGTCAAGTGCTCTTGGCAATACCAGGAGAGGCATGAGGTGCCCTGTTTCTAGCCTGATGCGTGAGGGCCAGGAGTCTTTGTGACCGTATTAACCTCACCCTCTGAGCCTCTGCTGTTCTTGATGTCTCTGCCCCTGTGTTCGCACTACGTGTATACCACTTGACTTTGAGTTTCTCTGTGTCATGGGTTTGTCTCATCTCCCCGATAAGAGAATAAGCCTTCTCCTCTTGTGTGCACGCCCCGCCTCGTGTGCCCCCTCCTCCCTAACATGAAGTACAGCATGTAGCAGATATCTCAGTAAATGCTTGTTCAATTGAAATTGAGTAGAACTCTCTGGGGCTATAAAATTTAGCACAACCAAAAAAAAATGGTACAGCTAATCCCTAGAGTGAGTCATCTGCATGGGGCCCAGTGGAAATGAGGGGTGAGCCTACAGAGTTCATATATATGGGTTCTCTCAGAAATTTCCTGCTCTTGGGTTGTGTAGTCAAGAAAAGAGATGAAGGGAGAACTAAAAACCTGCCAACTTATAACCATTCGAAGTAGGCTGAACCAGAAGTTACAGAGAATTAATGAATAGAGCATTCTTGAATAACTGCCGTTAGAAAAATTCACCGTGGCCCAGGACAGCTGACTCTGTCAGGCAAGGGCTTCAGTCTTTCCTAGTCATCCCAGCATTTGGTGCCTTGGTCTTGGCATCAAATCTGGATTTTAGACTAACGCAGAGTCAATGAGTAGTACGTCCTAGAACATTCTGGTATAAAACCATGCTCTCTGAGCCAGTGCATTGTGTTCTTTCTAGTGTGGAGGTATGAACTAGGCAAGGTGGGATGACACAAGAACCGTGAACATCTTAACTTCTTCAACTGTCCGAGCCAAGCAATATATGCTAGGAAAGAGGAAGTGAGACAGCTCCCATGAATTGTTTCTGTTGGCAGGAAAACCAGGAAGTGGAATGGTTTCCTCCATAGGCACACACTTCACAATCAGGTTCCCTGTGAGCACCCCCTGGATGGGAGTTAGTGTGGCTTTTGTCATGTGGCTGGTAAGCCAGTGTGGTGGGTATCACAGACCTGGGTGCTGGGGATTTTCAGTGTCCAGTTTGATGAGTTTCAACAAATGTATATTTGGTCACATAATTATCACCCCAAACAATACATAGAACACTTCTGTCACCCCAGAATCATACCTCTCGTGTCCCTTTATAATCAACTTCCCTCAGCCAACCCAGGCAGCTTCTTACTGGATTGCTCTCACTGTAGCTTCCTGTTCTGAGCCACCTGAAATCCTGTAGGATTTCATATAAATGGATTCATGCAGCATATACTCTGGTGTCTATGCCCGTCAGTTTCTGCCAGCAGTTTACTGAGTCCCTGCCACACTGCCAACTTTGCTGATACCCTGCCGTCCCCCTCCCCAGCCATATACACGCCTGTGTCTGCCTTCGCTTCCATGGGAGCAAATTAGTTTTTTCAGCAATTCTAGGAAAAGTGTGGTTCCCCAGCCCAGATACTGCATTAACTCGAACTTATTCCATCCTCTGACATTTCTACATAAAAAAGGTTTGGAGCATGAAAGGGGCAGCAAATTAAATGCTGTTTCCCCCCATTTATGCTCCTAATGAGTCTCGGTTATTCCCTCACTACCACATGGGCCTCATTGAGATAATAGGATTTGCAAGGAAAGTCTCTGGGAGACATAAGGCTGTGCGTCCCTTCCCCCCTATCCATTAAGGCAGACCTAGGGTTTCCTCTGTAAATCCTGAATCCATTAGTGGCCACTGGGTTGAGGGTCAAATGTCAAATACTCCACTGTGAAGGGAGAGGACATCTGTGGCTAATTAGACCGCTAATTGGCTAAGCTGGGGACAGGGAAGGGCAGGACGCTTGCTCTCAGCTTGGTGCCAATGGGACGCCAGCCCCCTGTCAGCCTCCAGCTCCCTGAGCGGGGATGAAAGCCAATGGGAAGGTTTGTTTGCAGTGGGGGCAAGGCACCCTACCCCATCTCGTCCAGTTCAGCCTAAGGCAGGACATGGCTTGAGGAGCTGGCCCTGTTTTAATCAGGAGGGGAAGAGTGAGCCAGTGGCCAGATGCCTAGCTCTTCTTGCTTTAAATTTAATTCTTTACTTTGGAGATGAGTTATACACCTACACAAACTCATCCAGCTTTGTTTCCTACCCCAACCCAACATCTTGAGTGACCTACAATTTGTGTGAAAATGTTAAAGGCCTCAGGACCCACATAGGTTGTGTTATGTTTATTCATTGATCCACTTATTGCTACATTTGACAAATATTTATATAGTACCTGCCATATGCAAATCATGGGGCCAAGCACTGTGGAGCCTCCAGAGATCAGTTAGATGACCTTTGCTTACAAGGATCAGTAATACGATCTTGCCTCACTTATAGTCTAGCAAGCTTGTGAGGTTGATAAGCATTAACTACAACGTGAGGGAGGCTGTGTGATGGCCAAAGGATGGATACAAACACTACTTCAGAAATTCCAGAGTGAGGGGCGCCTGGGTGGCTCAGTTGGTTAAGCGACTGCCTTCGGCTCAGGTCATGATCCTGGAGTCCCAGGATCAAGTCCCGCATCGGGCTTCCTGCTCAGCGAGGAGCCTGCTTCTCCCTCTAACCCTCCCCCATCTCATGTACTCTCTCGCTCTCTCAAATAAATAAATAAATCTTTAAAAAAAAAAAGAAATTCCAGAGTGAGAATATTTATGGTCTAGAGAATCATGGAAAGCTTCATGGAGTAGGTGCCTTTTGAGCTGGAATTTATCAGGTTGGGAGAATTTCAATAGGTGGAGATGAGGTTGGGAACTTCTTTGAAGAGAAGAGCAGAAAGACAAGGAGGGAATCCGTGGACATGCTTTTTTTGGTGAGATGGTGGCATTCACGTTGTAGTGTCTTGTGTCTGAGGCCGGTGGCCTACCAGCCGAGAACCTCACTTTCCCCTTGCTTTGCAGATCAATGAGCTGAGCAATGTCCCTGTGCCTGTCATGCTAATGCCAGATGACTTCAAAGCATACAGCAAGATCAAGGTGGACAATCATCTCTTCAATAAGTAAGTGGCCTCCTGAGTGGGCTCAGGTTTTGTGGGCAGTCCTTTCCCTCAAGGCGGAGAGCTTCTGAAAACTTGCACATGGCAATGGTTGGCACCTGGCAGGGTGTGACAGCGACACCTGGATCTCCCAGCTGACAAACTGGCTGGGAAAATGCATTCATTATGTGCCTCTCCCCTTTGTGTCATTCTGTCATCTCCTTTATCTGCCTACCTCCAGGGTCCCTCGGGGCGTGTGGCCTGGCCCAGGGTGATTCATCTGGGGCCAGGTTAGATAGCAGAGAAGCTGCCAGACATGTTCCTGGCCCGGGATACAGCTCTTCTGTCTCCGGGCGTGTGAGCCACAGGCTGAGCATGGTGCCCAAGGGCGCCATCCGAAGTAATTGCTCCCACTTTTGTTCATTGTGGCTTCTGGGACTAAACGCTGGTGTCTGAAGGGTTGAAGCAGCCGTTTCACCTGGTGCAGGGTGGGGCCTGCCCTAAGCCCTTGGGAGGCCTTGCTTTTTCAGCCTACTGTGGGCCACCCCGGGAAGCGCTTGCTGCCCACACCCTCCTTTCTGCGCTCGCGTCCCGGGGCCCCACGGTCCCCGGCACCCTTCCTCCAGCTGGGCTCTGTCACCCCACCATTGCCAGACTGTTAGCCTGGAGGGGAAGCTTAGTTTGAAAATATCCCTTAGTGGCCTCTCTCTGCCATAGTATGTAATAACATTTTATTCTAGAAGCCATCTGTCTTCAGAGCTAAGCAGCCACCGTGTAGAAGAAAAACTCCTGTGTTTCTGCTCTGCTCTCACACTGCTACCACATTTCACTTCCCTGGGTTTTCCACACGTGGGGCAGTTCTGTGGGACAGCGGGGTGTCCTGCCAATGCAGCTGACGCTGTCTACCTGGACTTAGCATCGGGCACCGCAGGTTCAGTCCCACGAAGCTGCCCCCCTGCCTTCAGGTGCCAATTGCAAGTCTAGGTCGTCACCTGTGTTAGTGACCAGCCTGCTATGGGTTCCACATTCCCACGACCCTCCCTCTTGGGTTCGGTTAATTTGCTAGAGTGGCTCACAGAACTTGGGAAAACAGTTTATTTACTTGCTTACTGGTTTATTATAAAGGATACAACTCAGGAATAACCTTTCCGGGTGCACCACCCTCCCCACACCTGCACCTGTTCAACAGCCTGGAAGCTCCTGAGTACCACCTTCATTGCAAAGGCATGATTGATGAATCATTGGCAATTGGTGATGGGTTCAATCTCCAGCCGCTCTCCGCTCCCTGCAGGTCAGGGGAGTGGGACTGAACGTTCCAACCCTCTCATCCTGGTTGGTTCCCCTGGCAACCAGCAACCCATACTTTCAGGCTTTCCAAAAGTCACTTTTTTTTTTTTTTTTTTTTTTTAAGTAGGCTCCATGCCCAGTGTGGAGTCCAGCGCGGGCCTTGAACTTACAACCTCTGAGATCAAGATCTGAGCTGAGATCAAGAGGCAGATGCTTAACCAACTGAGCCACCCAGGCACCCCCCCCTTCCAAAAGTGACCTTATTAACGTAAACTCAGATGTGGCTGAAAGGGGCTTGTTATGAATAAAAAAAAAAAGACATTTATTGCTCTTATGATTTCAGAAATTCCAAGGGTTTTAGTTGCTCTGTGCCTGAAACAGGAACAAAGACCAAATATGTCACAACATCACACCCCCTAAGGAGGGAGAAGCAGCCCTTGGCCCTGTGGCAGGAAAGGAGGTGGCTCTGTCCGAGGGCTCAGGGCTCTGGAAGGGGGCATCGCACCACTGCCTATTTCAGGGTCCATGGCCTCTGGTGAAGTTCCACCACCTTGACATCTTGGCCTAAAGCAGAGCATCCAATCTCTTCTTTGATCTTTCTTTATTCCTTTTGTCCTTTCAATAACTGTTGATGTGCTGATTGTTAGACTGTGGTGCCTTTTACTAGAAGAAGGGGAGAGGAGGCAGAGGAGGCCCCTGCCTGCAGGAGAAGCCACTGCTGTTTGTTTCCTCGAAGTGTGTCATCCTGGAGTGTAGTCAGGGGCACGGATTTTTCAAAGGCAGTTCCCAAGCAAGGGGACCATTGTAAAGATGGAGGATGTGGAGATGGCCTCCCTTCATGGCAACTCTGTCCCCTCCTGGGAGTCTGTGGCTTATTGACCAGGGAGTGGGGAGGGTGGAGATTGGTACTAGCAGCCCACAGACAAGGCTTCCCAAAAAGATGGGAACCCGGTCAGCTGACGGAGGACGTCTTCAATCCAAAGCACCCTCGTCCTCCATCCCGGGGGAAGCCCAGGGCTTCCCAGATGTGGCCATCTTCGGGACATGTTGGTAGAAGTGTCCTCAGAGGAGAGGGTGCCTTGGTTGAGAAAGGCCGCTCCTTTTAGCCATCAGCCTGCTGGCCGCCTCACACCAACCATGCACACGCAGTCACTCCCGTGTGCAAGCACAGCCCTTGTGCAGTGTGGCCAATGCTCCGGCTCGCTTCTCGGCACGTGAGGCTTTCCCCTTTCATGTAAATTTTGTCAAAAGAGAACATACACTTAGAAAAAGTATACAAATCGTAAGGATACAGTTCGACTCATTTTTACAAGATGAACATGGCGATGTAAAGTTTTAAAACTCTTACACGCTCAGCATCACCAGGAGTGTTTGTTAAATACTCCAGACTCCTCTCCAGAATTTCTGGGGCCTAGAAACCTACATTCTGAGCGCCGCAGATTGTTCAGGTCCCGGTGCCCTGTGGCCCAAACCCAGGGAAGTTCTGATGAAGAATTAGACAGATGGGCAAGGAAGGGCTCACAAAGACATTTCTCTGCTTTGCCCTAGGGAGAACCTCCCCAGCCGCTTCAAGTTTAAGGAGTACTGCCCCATGGTGTTCCGGAATCTCCGGGAGAGGTTTGGGATTGATGATCAGGATTACCAGGTACAGGGTGTCTTTGCAGAGTCGGAGGGGTCAGGGAGTGGAGTGGGGTTAGGAGGCCACGGGAGACATGGAGAGGAAAGTCTCCCATTCCCGAGCTCTGTCTTCCTGTCCTGTCCTGCTCCCGCCGGGTGGTCTCTCCCAGGTTGCCAGCAGGCTCCTGCAGGGCTCAGGGCCCTGGAAGTGCTAAGTGCTTCTGAAGCTGCAGGCAGACTCAGGCTCCTCTGCCTGGGAGGGCGAGGGGCTGCGGAAGCCGCTTCACCTCAGTCTGACATTCCCAGTCTAGGCCCAAGAACCCATCTCCTCCGTAGTTTGACTTAAAAGAGCGAGTTGTTGCCGGCGGGTGATGAGGCCTCTTAAAGCAGGTAAGGCAGAGTAGAAAAGAAAGCCTCGGAGGGTAGTGTAACCTTGGCAGGTACGCGCGCCGCCGCCTCCGTGGTCCGGCTGCTGCGGGAAGGGCACCGGCGTGGCCGGGGCTGATAACCCGCCTGCAGTCTGCTGGGAGCGATCGTCCCAGGCTCAGGGATGTCACAGTCTGACTCCTAGTCTGTGGTTTCTCCTACTGCTCCACCTAGCACCTTCCACGGACCTTCTGCCCCTGGCAGACAGCCTGCTGGTGATGGTGGGAGAATTTTCCACTTCACCTTGCTAGCAGTAAGAAATACAGCTGACTTGCAGTTGTCTGGGGGGGAAAAAGGAGCGTACAGCCTGGTGAAATCTAAAATGGATGTCCAAATCTTTTAAAATACCGTAACCCCTCCAGGCCGGGTCCTAGTAAGCCTTTCATGGAGTAGTTCCTGAGGAGCAGGATGCACCTGGGTGAGGCCCCACTCCTCTCCTGTCCACTCTGGAGGGCGGCCTGCAAAGATGCCATCCCCAAGAGGAGGGCGCAGGGATGCCGGAGGAGGAGATGCCAGGGACGGAAGGCTCCAGAACGGCTGTGCCTGAGAGGTACTGGGAGGTGCCTCCAGCCCCCTCTGTTAGGACCAAACCCTGAGCTAAATCAGGATCTGATTGGAGCTGGAGGTTTTCTAAAAACTTGCCACTGTTGCAGCCCCAGATTGCTCGGACACCTTCCTTCCGCTGTGGCTCCTTCCCTTCCCGTCGACGCTCTAACCACATCCTCTCCGTGTCTGCATTTTTTCTCTCATAACCTTGTGGGCAAGTGATTGTGCTCACGACATGTGGTGTTCAGGGAGGGGACTAACCGTGTAGAGTGTCAGAGCACACTGCCTGGAAACGAGGCAGGGATGGGAGCGTGGGACCTGCTCGTCTTCCCAGAAGGAGAACCGGGCTGGGGGAGTGAGGTCCTCCGCTGTGGAGCCTACTCAACATTTCTGGATTGGGGGCACCTTGTTTTGGGGGTGCCCTTTTAATTTAGAGAGCATCTCACCACTTCAGACTTGAGTCTTCCCCATGAAGGTGGCGCTCTCTCTTTCCCCTAGGGTCTTGTGAGGAGGCACTGGGTGAGGGCAGAGCATCGAATCCTAGATAACAGCCGAGGAAGGGGCTTGGAGAGTAGGCATTTCTGCCAGCAGATCCCCACATATGTCTGCTTGGGAACAGGGACAGCTGGGGCCTCCTCTCTGCCTTGCCTTTCAAAGGTCTTCTCCTGGTGTCTGCTTGGTGAACACATCCCTTTGGTTGACTCACACCTCCCCCTCCACCCCCTCTAGAGGCTTTTGCTCTCTGATCCTAATGGGAATGGGGCCTCGAGGAGGAGCATTGGCAGAGCCAGAAAAGCTCCCCAGAACTGCCTCATAGCTCTGCACAGACAAGCAGGAGTTTGAGGTGAGGGGAGAGGGGCTGGGCAGAGAGGCGAGGAACCCCTGCCTGCTGTGGGAAGGGTTTTCCAGCACCGGGGTATGTCCAGGGAAAAGAGATGACTGTCCGCTGCTGCTTTATGCTGGACTTCTTGAATATTCCTTAGGCTTTGTCTTTGTCACCCCAGGAAACTGGGAAAACCATCTTGAACTGCCTCCTTGTGTTCCAGGTCAGGAAATTCAGGAGTGGAGAAGTGAAATGGCTCTCCCAAGGTCAGGTCACCTGTGGGCGTCAGGTCAGGGCCCAGCCCTAACGTGTCTGAGGCAGGGATTTCGTGGACAGGGTAGTTCTCAGGGGTCAGAAGGAAAGGAAATGTTGTGCAGCTGGCCCACTGCCCCTCCAGTCAGGGATTAGGAGCAGGTGGTCAGGAGCAACTCTTGTCACTCTCCAGGAAGACCTGTGGGAGAGAAGTGAACTTCCCAGGACACCAGGGGTGGGTCAGGTCCCGCCTGTCTCAGCGTGGTTGGCCCAAGTAAAGGTCAGAGCCCTTGTTCCTCTCCCAAGACCAGCCTGCTTTTGTCTTGGTCCCTCAGAACTCAGTGACGCGCAGCGCCCCCATCAACAGCGACAGCCAGGGCCGCTGTGGCACACGCTTCCTCACCACCTATGACCGGCGCTTTGTCATCAAGACCGTGTCAAGTGAGGATGTGGCCGAGATGCACAACATCTTAAAGAAATACCACCAGGTATGGTGAGTCCCGAGCCTGGGCGGTAGAGGACGGGTGGCCGGAGGGAGGAGAGAGCCCCTGGGCAGCTTCCTGGGGAGGGATGGGTCCTCTCGCAGCGGCCCCCGCCTCCTGAGAACCGAGCACTTGGTCTTCCCCGGGGTCGGGTGCAGAGTTCAAATGCCTGTTGCAAAAAGGGAAAAAGGAGAAATGAAGGCATGTTGCTCACTCAGTCCCCGTGGAACAGCTGTTTCTTGTCAGAGTCAGGAAGTTGCCCCCTTTGGCACCTGCTGCATTTCTTCCAGAAGAGGTCCCGTGGTCTGGGCAGGGTCGCTTCCTTTCCCGTCCGGGCGCTCCGTGCCCTGGGACGCCGTCCTGGAGGGAAGCAGGGAGTGCGGTAGCAGCGTCCGAGCGCCGGGCCTAGTGCCTGGGCCTTCAGGGAACGCTGCCTTCTCTCTGGGGCACCGGGAGGTAGTGAAAGGGACTCCTGGTCTTTGGGGCTACGGCGGAACCCCCGGGGTGCCGCATGGCTAAGAACTCCTGGCAAGGAGGGAGCCGCTCCTCTTTCCCTACAACCCACTCGCAGGCCTGCCTCGGTGATTCTATTTCAGACGGAAGTTTCAGGGGCCGCCCAGTAACCCGAGGCCAAAGGGGCCCTGCGCGGCCCGCCCAGCCTCTCACTCTGCCTGGCTGGCTGGGGGCGGGGGTGGCTACGGCCTCTCTTAAGTCCGAGGAAGCCCCGTGACTTCACAGGACCCATCTGGCCTGGAGGCTCGACTCCCCGGGAGCGTTTGAGCCTGGGGTGGGGGGACTGCCCCGGCCGTCCCGGCGTCTTCATTCCTTCCTTAGCCGCCCGTCCTTCCTCCCTTCACTCTAGTTCATAGTGGAGTGTCACGGCAACACCCTTTTGCCGCAGTTCCTGGGCATGTACCGCTTGACCGTGGACGGCGTGGAGACCTACATGGTGGTCACCAGGAATGTGTTCAGCCACCGGCTCACTGTTCACCGCAAGTACGACCTCAAGGTAAAGGGCTCTGCGGCCCACAGTTCTGTGGCTGCCCTCCCTCAGGCTCCCGCACAACGGGAAGCCCCCAGAGCGTAGGTTTCGGCACAGTCAGGACTCTGGAGTTGATGTGCCTAATTCCTCTGGGTCAGAGGCTGTTGGAAGTCCAGGTGACAGGGACGAGAGGTTATTTAATGTGCCGTATTTATGTCACCGTCGGTGTTCTTCAGCTCCCGTTGGGGGCATGTGCGCTCCGGGGGCGGCCGTCTGGGGACAGGCCGTGCTGACGCACGCCCTCTGGCATGTGTCCAGGACACACACATTTGTAGACACAGAAAGGAGCATGCTTGTGCCTGGGAGCCACAGTGCTCCGCTGTTCTCGAAGCCGGCTTCCTGACTCGTCAGCTCATACCCCTGGCTTCCTCCCTGCTGCAGCCACAGGGTCCGTTCCCACACGGTCCGGGCTCTGCTCCGCCCCAGTACCTCTCACGGCCGCCCGGCCTCTTCCCTGCCTGCTCTTTTGTCCCTCTCCGCCTTCTGTCACCCAGTTACTTCCTGCCCGGCTCGGGTGTCACTTCCTGCAGGAAGCCGGCCTGGATCGCCACCCCTGTGCCATCTGTGCTCAGCGTGTCCTCCTCCCGTGTCCCACCTAGCACCAGTGTAGTTAACGGGTTAATCGTGTGACCACTTGTTAATGCCCGGCTCCCCTGTTGGGAGGCAAGTCCCCTGAGGGCAGGGACTGAGTCTTGGTACAGTCCTGTTGGCTGCGCGCGAGCCTCGTGTCTAAGCAGAGCTCTGTCAGTGGTCTGTGACAGAGGACGTGAACAAGTTGCTGCCTCCGGGCCCCTCGAAGGTTCTAACCAGCCTCCTTCAGTTCACCTGCTGCCTCTCCCCAAAGACGGGTGCATGTTTTCTCGCTCAGCGGACTTTGCCTCAGCTGGACCTCCCCTGACGGCTCTTACCCTTGCAGGGCTCTACTGTCGCCAGAGAAGCCAGTGACAAGGAGAAGGTATGTGGGGACCCGGACTGATGGAGTGTGGCCTGGGCCACTTGGAATCACCTTCTGTCGGTCTTCCTGGCCCTTCCTCCACCACAGCCCCTAGCCTGGTTCCCACTTACGCCCTCTGTCCCCTCTGTCGGGCTGTGTCACTGAGCACCTGCCTGGCCACGGCCTCGGCCGCGCTCTCCAGCCTTTGCCGGCTGTCCACAGTCCTGCAGGGCTGGTGACTTCTGTCTCATGGGCCAGCTTCAATCGGGCTGAGGTAGCCCAGGCTCAGCAGGAAGAGATGCCTTTGGTCTGTCCTCCCTGTCTGATGTAAGCCACATAGTTGCCATCCCTGCTTCCCGAAGCTGGGACTGCAGCCTCCTGTGCTGAACCTGGTGATTTGACAGGTCGACCCCCTGTGTTCTAAGGACCCTTCCCCTTTTTGTGCCGTCACCTCTTGGGGTGAAGGTATTGGGCCACCCAGCCTAACACTGCTGTTGCTCTCCCAGGCCAAGGACTTGCCAACATTCAAAGACAACGACTTCCTCAACGAAGGGCAGAAGCTGCATGTGGGAGAGGAGAGTAAAAAGAACTTCCTGGAAAAACTGAAGCGGGACGTAGAGGTACTTACTAACCCTCATTTTCACCTTGGTTGAGGAGGGCCCCCTCTTGTCCTCAGAGCAGGAGCCTCTTTAACCTTAAGAAAAATTGAGTTCACAGGGTGTCTGGCTGGCTCAGTTGGAGGAGCATATGACTCTTGATGTTGGGGTTGTGAGTGTGAGCCCCCAAAAATAAGATCTTTAAAAAAAAAGAAAAGAAAAATTGAATTCACTACTTTCCACATTCCTGGAAAGGAAGGCTGGTGATTTGAGCAGTGTGCGTGCAAATGAGGATTCCATCATTGGGACACATCTGTGCCAGTAGAATCTTTGTAGCTCAAGTTGGAATGCTTTCCTTGAGCTCTTCACTAGTCTATTCCAACACCTTTTTCAAACGCCCCTAAACTTCCTTTCTGGAAGTGTCCCCTTCATGGGTGGGGGGTGTCGGCCATCAGAGTAGTGGGAAGGCAGCTGTAAGATCCACCAGCCAGGCCCTTCTCTGGCTCCGATTCCTCACTTACCTGGCAGCCTTCTGGTGGAATGGACTTCCCGTGGAGAAGTTCTTCCGGGGAGGACAGGTGCTAAATAGTGAATGTGTTACCTGGACCACTTGATAACTCAGTGTCTCCTATTTTAATAAATTGGGAGCCTGTTCATTAAAACCAAACCCCTACAAACTTTTAGAAGTGTTTTCTTATTTTTTTTATTGGGGTAAAATATACATAACATAAAATTTACCATCTTAACTGTTTGAAAAATGCACAGCTCAGTGGCATTAAGTACATTCACCCTGTTGTGTGGCCATCGCCACCATCCATCTCCCAAACTGAAACTTTTCATCTTCCCAAACTGAAACCATTACACACTAATTCCCCACTCGCCTTCTCCCTAAGCCCCTGGCAACCACCACGCTACTTTCCGTCTCTGTGAACTAGACTATTCTAAGTACTTTATATATAAGTGGAATCATATAGTATTTGTCTTTCATGTCAGGCTTTTTTTCACTTACCATAATGTCTTCAAGGTTCATGTGTATTGTAGCATGTGTCAGAATGGCCTTCTCTTTTAAGGTTGAATAATATTCCATTGTGTGTTTACCCGTTTTTCCGTCAAAGCGCAACTGGTATAGTAGTTAAGATTTTCCAGAGAAACAGAACCAATAGCGGGGCGCCTGGGTGGCTCAGTCATTGGGTGTCCGCCTTTGGCTCGGGTTGTGGTCCCGGGGTCTTGGGATTGAGCCCCACATCGGGCTCCCTCCTCAGTGGGGAGTCTGCTTCTCCCTCTCCAGCTCCCGGTGCTTGTGTTCCCTCTCTTGCTATCTCTCTCTGTGAAATAGATAAATAAAATCTTTAAAAAAAAAAAAAAAAAGAAAGAAAGAAACAGAACCAGTAGATGGTGCCGATGGCTGGCTGGATGGATGGGTCAGTAGTTAGACAGACAGCCAGGTGTTTAGTATAAGGAATTGGCGTCCACAGTTATGGAGGCTGATGTTCCCAAGAGCTGCAGTCGGCATGCTAGAGAGACCCAGGAGGGCAGATGGTATAGTTTCAGTCTGGAGGCCAGTGGGCTCAAGACCTCGGAAGGGCCAATGTTTAGTCCATGTCTGAAGGCAGGAAGAAACTGATGTTCTAGCTCAGAGGGACTCGGGCAAGAGGAGCCCCTTTTACTCACAGGAGGGTCACCCTTTTTGTTCTGCTCAGGCCTTCAACTGATTGGATGAGGCCCACCCACATTAGGGAAAGCAGTCTGCTTTATTCCTTTTGCTAATTCGCATGTTAATCTCATCTACAAACACCTTCACAGATGCACCCAGAATAATAGCTGACCAAATGTCCGGGCACCAAAAATTAACCATCGCACTTGGATCGATTCACTGTGAATAGTGTGGCTGTGCGCATGGGCTTTACGAACGGCTTTCTTTCCTAGCAAGCTTTTCCTTCATCACCGCCTGCTCTGTCTGCCTTTATTCTGCCTCTCAGTTTGCCCAGAGTCCTTCTCCTTCCTGTCCTCCCTTTCTCCCTACTCTTCTGAGAGGAAGTTAAGGCAGTTTGCACATTTCACTTGTTTTCACTTGCCTTTGCTTTCTCGGTGTTCTCAGGTGGGTAGGAGTGGGTGTGGGTCGTGGACTCTCTTCTGGGACCTCGGCCCCTCTCCTTGGACCTTGGGAAGGGCGCGTCCAGAGGTGCTTGGTGTGGTGCCCCCCACCTTTCTCTCTAGAGGAGAGGCTGCTGATCTATCATCGGGCTTCTTGTGCTTTTAGAAGCCCAGGAGCCTGTCCGTCGGGCAGTTTCCCGGCGACCGCGGCCGAGTGCCCGGCTCGGGCTGCGCGGCGCTCGCGGGCTGCTTCCGTCCGGCTTTGCGCCAGCGACTGTGGCCTCGGGGTGCGCGGAGCTGGAGTGCCCGCTGGCCGGCTGCACCTGTGTCCGCCCCTCGCTTTCGTTCTTCAGGTCACGGAGTCGCAGCCCGGGGGCCCCGAGACACCGTCCCGCTCGGGAGGCTTGTGCGGACGCCGGCCCTGCGCCAGCCGCTTCGGACGTCCGGGAAGACGTTCGAGTGGCGCTTGGCTCTTTCTTAGGGGCTGTTCCCTTTTCTTTTCCTTCTTCTCGCCGTCCTTGCCCTGACTGGTACGGGAGCTGGTACGTGGTGGTTCGGGCTCTGCCTGTGGCCGTCCGTCAGAGGCACGTTGTACCTCACAGCCCAGCGCGCGCACGCAACGGACCCACTGTCCGCCTCCTTCCTCCTATGACCTCTCACACTTTCTGTTCTATTTCATAGTATTTCATAATTAAAAAAATCCTGGCCCCAGCCTCCTGACATAGATCTTGGGCCCCTGATGGGTGACGTCTGTGGTCCGAAGGACGCTGGCCTCGGCGCGCCGCGGCGTCCCGCTCCTCGCGCCGACTCGCCGCAGCCTCTCTTGATCCCAGACCGAATGGGCCTCCTCCCTCGGGGTTCCTCGTGGCTCTCCTGCCACAGCTTCTGCCTGCCTGGCCGCTCCGCGTCCGCAGGCTGCCTCAGCTGCTCTCCCCAGGGAGGTCCCCCGCCCCCTGCCCTGGCCTCCCACGGCTCCGTGCCCTCGGGAGCGGCTGTCCTCCCCGCGGGGCCCTGAGCTCACTGAAGGCAGAGCCTGGATGGCTTGTTCTCGCCCGTGTTTGAGAACCGGAGAATGGCCTTGAAGGGAGTGCCTTTTCTCCCCTTTCCAGACGCCCCCGGGGATGCCCCGGGGAACGTCTTCCTCCATCTCTCCTTCCCCGCCTGCCCTAGTTCCTGGCCCAGCTGAAGATCATGGACTACAGCCTGCTGGTGGGCATCCACGACGTGGACCGGGCGGAGCAGGAGGAGATGGAGGTGGAGGAGCGCGCTGAGGACGAGGAGTGTGAGCCCGACGGGCTGGGAGGCAGCCTGCTCTGCTCCTACGGCACGCCGCCCGACAGCCCGGGCAACCTGCTCAGCTTCCCCCGCTTCTTCGGCCCCGGGGAGTTCGACCCCTCTGTTGACGTCTATGCCATGAAAAGCCATGAAAGTAAGTAGGAGCCCGCGTCTGCCCTGCCCACCCCTGGCCCCCCCGTGCGACCCCCTCAGGCCCATTGTTTAGACGCCCCTCTGGGTGTCTGGACGCTCCCCCCCCTTCACTGCTGACTTTGGCCTTCTCCTGCTTGCGGGCTCTCCTCCCGATCTGTCACCAGGAACTCTGGCTTCTGGGGCCCTGGGGCCCTTCTCTGTCAGGCGTTCCTTCCCCTCTCTGCTTGTCCTGGAAGGCGGAGGCTTGGCTCGGCCCCAGTTCATGGTTCTAAACCCTGAGAAAGACTGTCCACAAACCAGAGAAGAGCTCTGGAGGCTTCTGAGAAGGGCCCATTAGCATTCCTTTCCTCAGGGCCACAATGCCAGCAGTGGGTCTGGGCCTCAGGTCTGCAGGGTTCTGGGCCGGCTGTTCCTGCCCTCTTCCTCCCCTGCCCCCCCCAGGTGCCCCCAAGAAGGAGGTCTATTTCATGGCCATCATCGATATCCTCACGCCGTACGATGCGAAGAAGAAAGCCGCCCATGCTGCCAAGACGGTGAAGCACGGGGTGAGTCCCCCCTGCCGCCCCTGGGCCTCCTGCTCTCAGACGCCCCTGCCCCCCCCCCCGGGCACCCCTGCCACTCTCCCTGCCGGGCGATTTTCCCCTGCTTTGCTGGGTGTGACCGCAGGTAACAGCTTGGTTTACCTGCCCACGCTCCTCCCCAGAGAACCCTTTTCGCCTTGGACTTGAAGCTCCTGTCTCCACAAAGGGACCCCACCCAGAGATCCCGAGTCTCTCTTCTGCCTCCCCACCACCTTGCCGCTCCTTCAAGGGGCGCAGGCTCGGGGTTGTGAATCCGAGGAGTGAGGCCAGGGCCACTCTGAGACGGAACCGCTCCTCCAGACGGCCTGCCCAGCCTGAGGTGTAGCCTTGCTCTCCCGCGCCGAACTGGAGGCTCCTGAATCCCCGGGCTCCTCCCAGCTGCAGCCTCCCAGTAGCCACCCAGTTAGGGCCAGGAGCTTGACCTGAGTCATGGCCTCTCTGTGTTACAGGCAGGGGCTGAGATCTCGACTGTGAACCCTGAGCAGTACTCCAAACGCTTCAACGAGTTCATGTCCAACATCCTGACGTAGTTACCTTCTACCTTCAGCCAGAGCCAGAGAGCCCGATGTGGGGCCGGGGTCGGAAAAGGGAGAGGGTGTATTTGGGCTGGATGGGAGGGTGGGGAGCAGAGGGGAGGGCTTTGGTGAGGAGCCGGCAGCCCAGGTTGGAGAGACTAGCTGGGGGGGAGGGGAGGTGCTGCGTGCTCACGTACTCACAGGGCGCACCTCACCTTCCGCTCACCCTGGATTTTCCCCCCATTTGACCCAGGTTGAAAAGGGGTTTCCTTTTTGTTCCCTTGTAACTTTTTACAATACTTTGGGGCTAGAAAGGACTTTGTAGGTTTATGTGGGTTTCGTTTCTGCAATCTCATCGCTCCAGGTTTGCTATTTATAATGATGTATGTCATCACCCCATCACCCTCCCCATCCCTGCCCTGCTCTGGGCTCCCTTCAATGAAAGAGGCACCCCATGGCCCCGGCCGAGGGTCCAAGTGCTCTGATACCAGAGGAGAGGAAGTCAGACACCTCAGCCCTGCTGCATTGGGTCTTGTCTGGATTAACTTTTTTAATTTTATGGAGTACTGTGTACAACTTCCTCCACCTTTTCACCTCGGATCCAAGTGAAATGTTACTGGATTCCTCCATGTAAATGCTGTCCTCCCGAAGGAACGCTCCAGATCAACATCAGGCATCTTGGGTGAGGAGAGATCTCCCAGGGGCGTGAGTTCATCCTCACGGGATGGTTGGGAGTGGGGGTCGAGGCTGGGCACTTGGACAGCTGGTCCTCACAGAACCCCGTGGACATCACCCATGCCCCTGGCCCCTGGCCTTGCCACGTCCTGTCTATAAAGCCTGCCTCCCGCTGGGTCAAGAGGAACTAGGAAGCATCTTTATGGATAGCAGGACCCCCAGACGCTGCGGGGTGTCAAATGAGGTCTTGTGCCCTCCATCCATTTACTTCCTTCTGACCTTGGCCCAGGTGCCTGCCCTTGTACTTGAGCTTTTCGCTGGGGCGCATCTCCACACGCCTGGGGCCCTCCTTGCAGAGATATGTCTTCAAGCGCCAGGGTCACTGTGTAGATGATCTGATACCTTGTGCCTGTGGTCTGTCCCCTGGACGGTCGTGGCCAGCAGGGTGTGCGCCCCCCCGCCACCTTGGAGGGTGGCACCCAAGCCTGAGGTTGCTTCAGAGTCACTTGAGGAGGGGACCCAGGAAATGCAACTTGGAGGCTTGATATGGGGGATCGACCTGGCCCCGGCTTTGGGGCTGTTTTCCTTGATGCCCCTGTCTCGACCTTTAGCAGACCTGCCACCCCCCGGGCTTCCCCAGGAGTGGCATCCTGCAGCTTTCTTCAGGGCCTCCACCCAGCTGCTGAGCGACCCAGGTCTCGGAACTGAGCCACATGCCCTCCTGTGACACCACCAGAACAGTCTGGTCTGGCTCTGAAGGAAACAGCCCTGTGTTGGGGGAGGTACATTCCTGCATCTTCTCACCCCCTTACCAGGAACTGGGGATTTAGGTTGAGATATGGTAAAACTTGTAGATAACCCCACAGATGCGAAGGAAGTTTATAGAAACATTGGAACGAATGGATTGGTTTCCTGTGGCTCCCTCCAAGCCTGGCCGAGCTCAGCTTCTGAAGCAGGAACCAGCACCATCTCCGGGCCCTACCCGCAGCTTTTAGGTCAGGGAGGAATGGAGGCAGCATTCTTGGACCCCGCGGGGGTTGCTGGAACCATTCTGGAAGAGGCAAACAGGTCAAACAACCGCCCTGGCTCCAGAAAGCGGTCGCAGGTAGCTCCTAACCGCAGCGGCAAGACCAAGTGACTTGGGGAAGAACTTGGAACCAAGAGGCTCATGGAGAAAATCGATCTGACTTGGGAAGGGATTACGTAGGAATAATGTTTGGACTTGATTTCCCCACCTCCTAATCAAGAATGAAAATTCAGATCTGCCCCTCGAGAGGCCCAGCATCTTCCGAGCTTGGTGGGCTGTGCTCCCGCCGCCGCCCCAGCCTCGGGCTCCCGCCGGCTTCCTGCATTTGGGCCGCTGATCATGTTGCCATCGTGTGTATGAAAAGTGTAACACAATCCATCAGTTAAAGATGAGCTACCAGGTATCTAACTTCTTTAACATTGAGTTTTTGTGTTTTTATGGGTTTCTTTTTCTTTTTTTTTTTTTTGGTATATTGTTTACATTTTGAGAGTAGCGTTCTGTTTCAAATGCTCTTTTTGTTTTTCTGACAGTATTGTTGTTTGGGTCAAAACATTTGAACTGTGGTTGGGTGGATTTTAGATTTTTTTTTTAAAAGGTCATTCTCTGTGCTATCTTCAAAACCTTGGGTTTAGCCCTCTAATTCCTTTGGCATCGAATGTTCAAAAGCTGTTTATCTTGGTTTATACCAGTTTTCTTTCTCTTTTTGTAATGATGCAGGTATATTTGGTTTGTGGTCTGAATGTGGAGAAAGTGAACTGACCCCCCAGCTCATGTCTGCCCCCATTCCTTTCTCCGAGCCCCCCTGTTCCCTCTCTGGGTGGTAGAAGGCGTCCAAAGGCCAGGGGCTAGCCTCAGCCTCCCTCTCCGGAGCCCGGGAGAAAAGCTCCAAGAGTCTCACAGCACCCCCAGAATAATCTGGGGTCTCCCAAGAACAAGAGTGTAAGAGTAGGACGTGACTGACGGGGGTGAAGCGTAGAGGGGGAAGCCTGCGCAAGGCTCCTCGCCCTTCCCCGGCTCGACCGCCTTGCCAGTCGCAGCTTCTCCCACCCTGAAGCCTGTGGCTGAGAAGCCAGTCTCCCAGGCCTCGCAGCCCAAGCGAGGGTTCTCCGAGAACGCCACTGAGACACTAGAGGAAGGCCTCTGGCCCTTGTTCCTTTGAATGAGCCACGGAGTGTGCGCCCCCCCCCGCCGCGGGCTCCTTCCCCGTGCCCTGCGGTGTGAGGGCCCCCGGCAGAAGCCAGCAGTTCCGGGAGCGGACTGAGCCGGTGCTCCCCCTCTCCTTACCTAGCTCAGGGGTTACTGGTCTGGGGCAGGTGCCATGAGTCGCCCCTGGGGCTGGTCTCAGTGGCACCCCCTAAGTTCCCACCACAGGCAGCTTTCCCTCCCTCTCCCTCCTTGTTTCTCTTGCCTGTGCTTTAGGCCTCAAACAGGGCCCCTGGTCGTGCTCAGGGCTGGGGACTACAGACTCCTGACCTACCGACGTTCCGCTCTTCAGTGCGCCAGGGCCTGCCCTGGGGAGGTGGACCAAAGACCCGGGGCTTTTCTCAGCAGCCAGTCCCACCCTCCCAGTTGTCTTTTTACCAATTCAAGTGGGGAGGGAATGAACTTCGACACTCCCTGGCATTTGAGCTACTCGAGTGTCGGGGGCCAGAAGGGACTGTGTAACAGCTCTGGCCTTAGAACTGTGGCTCCCCCAAGTCTAGGGACCCCACTTCTTTCTGGAAGAAATGGCGGTGGGAGGGTCCAGCCTGAGCACAGGAATCCCAGGGAAAACCCAGTTGAACAACTGCCCCCAAATCTACCAGCCATCTGCAGGGGGCAGGGACACAGCCCACCTTCCCTTGGAGACGTGCCACGTATGAAGAGCACCTCTAACGGGAAGAGGAGACTCAGCTGTCCCTAGCGGGTTGTGCTGAGATCCTTGGGAGGCTGGGGAGGAAACTTCCAGAGGAGCCCCCTCCCCTGCTCAGAGCTGTTTTGTGAGTTGTGAACCAGCAGCCTTTGGGGCGGGGGGGGCGCCGAGCTGCTTGGGACACCCGGACATCAGGTCAGATCATTGTCATCAAAAAATGTGAGTGAAGCTTAGATTCACCTCGTGGGGTAGTGGGACACACTGGCACCCATCATATGGACGTGACTTCTTGGTTTCGCGCTGCGACCTCCATTTTTTTAAATAGGAATTTTCAACCCCTTGTGCTTGTCTAATGTCTGCTCAGAACAGTTCAAGACCCTGTTACTGTTTTAAAATGCATGCATGTTAAGATGAATCTCCAACCCAAGGAACAAATAAAACTCAAAAAGCTTTGTGTACACATGTGTCATGCGTGAGTCCTTTGGAGATGAGCCTTTATTTTTTTCAGAATTAAAAGGTTTGGGTCCCAGTTTCAAAGGTTGCTTGGACAAAATCCGTGTGTGACTTGAGTTTGGAGAAAGAATATAGGCTAGAACTTAGGCCGCCGACTTCCAGATCTGGCTAGTGATCCTGACCCTTCTGTGCACACCGAGAAATGGACAAACCACCGGCCCTCACTTCTCCAGCTGTGTAAGACCAACACCGGCGGGGGGGGAGGGCCCACACACCTACCACACCTGTCCCTGCTCTCCCTTAACTAGCTACGTGGTCACCTCGCGTATCTCATGTTCTCCATGTAGACTCTCAGCTTAAAATCTAGGGGTTCTCCCAGTGTGGTCCTCGACCAGCTGTGTCAGCAGCAGCTGGGAGTCAGAAATAAATTCCCAGGTCCCTCTGCAGATCCGAATCAGAAACGGTTTTAACAGGCCCTCCAGGTGATTCTGATGGAGGCTCAAGTTAGGGAACCACCGCCACAGGTTGCAAGCTGGAATCATTTGGGAAGCTTTTAGGAAAGACAGGTGCCTAGGCCTTTAAAAGCCAGTTAAGTCAGAATCTTGAGGGATGGAATCAAAGTATCTGTGTGACTAATGTGCAGCCAAGGTTAAGAAATGCCGAACCACAAGGGTATTACTTGTGGCTACTTGGCCCAATTTCTACCTGAAACAATGAAAGATTTAAGAGTTTTCCAGCAGAACTGAGTGAAAAGGATTCTAGACTTTGGGGTCAAATGGAATATGGGTTTTCATCGTTGCTCCACCACTTATTAAAGTGGCCTTGAGCAAATTAACTGCCTTAAGTCGCCATGATGATTAAATCTCAGAATGTGTAAAGCACTTTGTGCCAGGCTTAGCACACAGCAGGCACTCAGCAAATCATCTGTAGATGTTACCCCACTGGTGCACCAGTAGAGGATGCTCTAAGTCAAGAAGAAAACCCAAGGGCTGAGCTATACCCAGAGGAGCTCTTTGTAACTACCAAGCTGGGGACAAAGATCTCTGGTAAAAGACCCAAAGACAAAAAAGCAGAAGTGAAAGAACTATT